ATAAATAAGTATATTTTATATTATATTATTAAGAATTTAATAATTTTAATCTGTATTTTCTATTCTCCCGAGTCTATACTTTACAAGCTATTCGTTCCTCGCATATTATCTAGGCTATCCGGCTTTTACTGGCCCAGGGCACCCTCAAACTATGCAGCATTATCACCTATTATGGGTCCTCCTAATATTGAGTACCCGGTGGAACAGGAAATTTCTCGTTTACAGAACTTTTTAAGTGCCTTTGTTATCTCCGTTATTTTGAATCTCCATAGATCCGGGGAATGTGAAAAATTAGAAAAAACCAGAACAAAGGGAAATAATTTATAAAGTCTTCCTCCGGCTCTCGAATTCCTTATCTTCGAGACCCAGTATATCACTTCACATCCGGTGCCTTCTCCGTCCAAATCCTTTCAAGACAAAGGTGCCACCGCTCAAATACAACGCCTTGGACTTGTCCAACGTTAAATTGTTTTCGTCACATCGCCAGTTCACCTTTTCCAACGTCATATCTGGGCCAATACGTTTATCGCGAAGACATGGCCTTGGTAACAAGTCGCTTAAGGGCAAGCTCCTGCTTCTTGAGGTCCTCGGCAGAACTTTCGGTGATTTCAAGAGTAGCCATGGCTTCGGAGATGGTCTGCTCAATCTTCTCCTTCTGGCCACGCTTGAGCTTGAGAGACAGAGTAGGGTCGGTGACAATCTCCTCCACACGGCCAATATAGGACTCGAGCTGCTGCTTGGCCTCAAATCGCTTGCTGAATGCCTCATCGTTGCTCTTGAAAGCCTCGGCGTCAGAGATCATCTTTTCGATCTCACCAGTGGAGAGCTTGCCGACAGAGTTGGCAATGGTGATGTTGGCACTGCGGCCAGAGGTCTTCTCAGTGGCGGTGACCTTCAGGATACCGTTAACATCCACTTCGAAGACACACTCGAGGACGGCCTCGCCAGCACGCATGGGAGGAATGGGAGCAAGAGTGAACTCTCCCAGAGAGGTGTTGTCCTCACAGTTGACGCGCTCACCCTGGTAGACGGGGAACTGAACGGTCTGCTGGTTGTCGGCAACGGTTGTGAAGGTTCTATTCAGGGAATTGTCAGTAACTGCTATTGATTACTGATGAAATATAGGTAACGCTTTGAAAAAGGTAAGGGAATGCAAAGCATGAACGAAAATAATTCATTACCTTTTCTTCAAGCAAGGCACGGTATTCCCACGGCTTACAACGCATGCGAAGATATTGCCCTCCATAGCGACACCGAGAGATAGGGGAACGACATCGAGAAGGAGGAGGTCGGAGGTCTCAGCGGAGGTGGCCTTGCCCGAGAGGATACCGGCCTGGACGGCAGCACCGTAGGCAACAGCCTCGTCGGGGTTGATACTCTTCTCGAGCTTCTTACCATCGAAGAACTCAGACAGGAGCTTCTGGATCTTGGGGATACGAGTGGAACCACCAACCAGAACGATCTCGTCAACGGCAGACTTCTCGATGGCAGCATCCTTGAGGACCTGAGCAACGGGTTCGAGAGTGCCAGAGAAAGCCTTGGCATTGAGTTCTTCGAAACGGGCACGAGTGATAGTCATGGTGAAGTCTTCGCCATCGAAGAGAGAATCAATCTCAATGGTGGCCTGGGCACCGCTGGACAGGGTACGCTTGGCACGCTCGCAAGCAGTACGGAGTCTTCGCAGGGCACGGGCATCGCCACCAAGGTCCTTCTTGGTCTTGCGCGTGAACGCTGTGCGGCAATGATCTAATAGGTTCGTATCAAAGTCTTGACCACCAAGATGGGTGTCACCAGCGGTAGCCTTGACGGTGAAAACACCACCCTGGATGTTAAGAAGAGAGACATCGAAAGTACCACCGCCCAAATCGTAGATCAGGACGTTGCGCTCCTTCTCGGACTTTCCAGAGCCCAGACCGTAGGCAATAGCGGCAGCAGTAGGCTCGTTAATGATACGAAGGACGTTGAGGCCAGAAATAGCACCGGCATCCTTGGTAGCCTGACGCTGATTGTCGTTGAAGTAGGCAGGAACAGTGATGACGGCCTTCTCGACCTTCTTACCGAGCTTGGTCTCGGCAATCTCCTTCATCTATGGGACTTGTTAGCCCAAGCTTGCCCAAGTAATCTAGCAACAGACATAAAAGCCCGCAGTCGGGCAGTGCGGAAAACGTACCTTGGTGAGGACCATGGCAGAGATCTCCTGGGCAGAGAACTCCTTCTTCTCGCCGAGGTACTCGACCTGGATCTTGGGCTGGCCGGCATCATCAATGATGGTGAAAGGCCAGGACTCAATATCCTTCTTGACGGTGGGGTCATCGTAGCGGCGACCGATCAGACGCCTGAGGGCCATGTTAGCATTTGAACAGCCATAGAAGATGGCATCGTCGGAGCATCAAGCCGACTGCAGCATCTTTGTTATTGCATCAAAACTCACTTGGCATCGAAGACGGTGTTCTTGGGGTTCATGGCGGCATTGTTCTTGGCGGCATCACCAATCAAACGCTCCTTGTCGGTAAAGGAGACGAATGAGGGAGTGGTGAAGGAACCCTGCTCGTTGGCAATGATTTCGACATTGGTACCCTCGTAGGTGGCCACGCAAGAGTAGGTGGTACCTACATCGGATTGTTAGCATGTCGTAGTCTTTGGTTACTGATGATGAAAATCCTCTATATGCACCCGCAAAGCCTTGCAGCGATAAACGGAGCGCGACCGGTCATCAAAAAACATCTCGGCCGCACAGCATAGGCCCAACAAGGGGCTGAAAAACAAGGTCAAGCTACGCACCCAGATCGATACCAATGGCACCGTCGTAAACTTCGTCGCCCATTTTGAAATGTGTCTGAACGGAGGAAGGAGGAGAGAAATTGTCAGGTGTCGAAAACGACTGAAGAAGATGGGAAGAAGAGAGATTGCGAGGAGGAAAGGCGGAATGTAGTGGGGTATATCGGTGTAGAAATTCTTTCTTCCCTCAGCCAAAATTTTTGTGAATTTTTTTTTTTCGGGCCACCCCAAGAACTTTTTCCCCCCTCGCCTTTGGCCGGGGACCCGCCTGAGATGAGCAAGTGGGGTGGGGTAGCCGAGCCAGACAACCAGAGAAGGGTCCTCGAGGCTGCGCTAGTCCTGTTTTGGTCAAGGTTATGGCCTAATATTTTAGGAACAAGCGAACGGGCAAAAGGTTCGAGCACATGTTGACGCAAGACCTCACCTCGCAGGTGCCGAACTGAAGGCTGATGCTTCCTACTCTTGTTATTCGCCTTCTCCTTTGCATGTATTCTTTTCTCAATGCAATGCGCCTCAGCTTCCGTTGTCGAAAGGCACAGCTCGCTGAACAGAAGTTCCGGCATCGAAGTTTTGCAACCTGGCTGAGCATAAGTTGAACAACCAGCGGCTGCTCCCAGAGTTCTAAGTACTGACTTGGCTCAGCGCCCTCATGACTTAAACATGCGCGATTCGTGGTACTAGTGGATTTGACTCAAACTGGTGGTTCTCACCTCTGTAAATGGCCTTGCGCGCCGATTGTCATCCGCCGGCTGCCCCAGACCATGGCACCGCACGACTAGTTCTTTCGCCGATGACCCTAAGACGCTATCCGATGGCTTTTGTTTGCCGGTAAACCGTGGCCGCTGTGCTCAATGACAGTCAGTGCTATATTGTCGTTGGGAGCTGGCCTCCGAAATTACCAAACGCGCGGGAAATACATTCGAGATCCACGTCGAAGTGCCGGTTGATGAGATGCGGTCCCGCTCGGTCTGGGCAGATACTGCAATAGATTCTGCAATATGCTGTGTTATATGTGTGTATTATGTCCTGGCTCGCTCAGCTCACAGTCCATGCCGGTTACAGGTAATGGTTCTCGTGTGGCACGCGATGGTTATCTCACATGTTGTCCCATCCTCTGCTCTCTATTCCTGCTCAAACAGCATGATTGAGCAGCGTTTTACTTCCTCGCCGTCTTCTGCTAAGAATAGCTGCTCGAATCCATAAGGGTGGTCTTAGTCGGCATGCAAGGGTAGTTGTTGAAGTTGGCATCCGGGGAAGAGCCATCGCGCTTGAGTGTCGAAGATACCGCGCGGCTCGTTGAAGGCTCCAGACAAGGGATGGTCAGGCTGGGCCACCATATTCATTCAACTCGGGTAGGACACGGGTCAACCCTGGAAACGTATTTGCAGGAAGCTATGGCTCTGGGTCGCGCCCTTGTTATGGGGTGAAAGCGGCCTATGATTCAAATTTAGCAATGCTCGCCTTGTGGTGCCTGTAGCAAGATTTCAAAGCATATCAACCTCGATCGACGAGCGCATTGAAAGCAGGGAGTCCTGTACAAGTCCTCAAGACGTTGCTGTTACTGTATCTCAAAACTTGTGAGAACCTGTTTCGGGAGCAGGAATTCTCGCCATAGTTTTCGCTCGGGTCGTCGTATGTTTCGAGGCCTCCCGAAAAGTTGTCTTGTTAATCATGAGAGAGAGAAAACACACACAGGGCACCGGTCTGGCCGGTTGGAGTAAATGCTGCCGTAATTGATCGACTTGTATGATTTGTACCAATAGTGAACTATGCTCCAGTACAGTGTCTAATAGACCAAGAGGAAGTATTTATAGTTAGGTAACAGTTATGAACAGTTGTTGACAGTTGCTAATTATTCTTAATAGTTGTTGACAGTTGTTAACAGTTATTAACATCTGTCCGCTCGTCTTGCTAATTCACTTCTGACGCCGCAGCTCTCTCACGCGTGTTGTATAACTGATACCTTGTCACGTATCTCTCCAATTCGCGCTCGACTAGTATTCAAGCCATGGCAACACAAAGTGCTTGCTAATGCGGTGGCAAGATGCGCAATTAACAGCCCATCCCATCGTTCCCTTTGCATCTCACGCATCTGACTTGTTATTCTAGCCGGCACTTTCATAGGGGCGATTGGTAGAGAGGCTCTCAATATATCATTCCATTCCTCAATTGTTCCAATCAATATAGACAAGTCCTTCGTACAGTGTAAACATTTCAAAACATGATGGCTTGCCAGCCTCAAACCCCTTGCCCCAACTCACCTTCACATCTCCAGTTACGCAATTCCCACACTTTTGTATCCATCCTGCCATTCGCCGCTGTCCCATCATCCATGGACGGAATAATACACAACCAACGAGGTAAGCAGCCCCAGATACAACACTCCCTCAACCAAAAGCTGCTGTTTCAACGTGCTCCTCTGCTCCTGCGTCAGACAACCCCTCTCGCCCTTGCCATACCACGCAATCGTCGCATCAAACTTTCCGTACAGTGCCAGCACCCCAATCGGCGGGAAGAAGACGGCCATGACAAAAATCACCAAAAACACCCGCCGTTGCTGCGCGTCTTCCTCCGGGCACCGGCGGCGTCGGCACAGAATATCCTCCCTGGCGGAGTGGATGAGGTCTGTTTCTGAGGGGGTGAGGAGGCCGTGCTTGGGCTCGTCTCGACGCTCGCGAGTGGTTCGCGCCGAGAAGCCGCTGAGGCGGAAGAAGCGTGCGCTGAGGAGCGATGTGTTGGTCGGGAGGGAGTTGCGGAAGAATGAGCCGGAGTGGGTGTCGATGATGGCCGATGAGTTGAGCTGCCCTTGAGTTGGGTCGTATGCTTCAGGGAACAGGGTTAGACGGAACTGAGGCTTCTCAAGGCATTGCATGGCGGAGACTTACGGAGAGCTCGCGCTGGGCTGTGCCGGCGATATGCTCGTGGTGGTCTGGGGATGCCACTTGTGTCCGGGATGTCTGCAACGGGTGTGATTGGGGTTTTGGGCCCGTACGAAGAAATAGTACTAATTGTGTCGGGGCGTGCTTTGGAGTCGCATATGGATCCGGCCGTGGTGTAGTCTGCTTCGTCTCGAGTGATGCCGTGCGACTGGCGAAGCGCTGCTTCTTGAAGACTTATAAGTGGGAACGGAAGGCTAGGAAGATTATAGTCCGCCGTGTTTCGGGGTGCGAAGTCTCTGGATTTATATATCATGTTTCCGTCCTGTGTTCCGAGACCAAGAATCTCCCGTGAGTCTTGTCTGTATCGCGGACTGGACCAATTGCTGCGTCGGGGGGCGACAACTTCCACAACAGTGTCAGGAGACACTGGAGTTGTAGTGTCGAAATTGTCCTGCTCCGGCTCGGAGTCTAGACTGCTGTAACTCATTATTGGTTTGCGCATCTGGGACAGTTTACTCGAAAACTTGGGCTTGTTCGAGGTATCGCTTGACAGACGGCTGAGATGGCTGAGATGCCGGACTGTAGCCACAGGACGAGCAGAAGACACTCGGCTATTCCTGTACGTCGGCTGCGAGAACCTATAGAAAAATGCACGGCGCGGGTTTGCGTTGGAATATACGTCCCCCCCTTGATGACTCTCACGAGAATCCTGCGAACCTGCAGTAGCCCCAAGGAAGTGATCAAACGATTCGTCCTCAGATCCATCTGACACATCGGCCAGACTGCTTCCTACATCTTTATCCAACCGAAGCGTCAGCTCCAAGGCCCTGTGAGGGGTTCGTTCCGTCGTAATCGTCTGCCAGTCGCTGCCCGTATCTTTTTCAGCCGCTGTATTGTTCACCAGCTGGGCGAGTTCGGAGAGCGGATGCTCGTTGGTACTGGGACTGAGATTAGCGCGTTTAATAACCGGGACTTTGACCGCATCATCGACTTTCTAGGTTGATTGAATGGCGGCATTGTCATAAAACGATCCTGACTGGAACTGCCCTTGGAAAACGCGCCGTTCACTCCTTTGCGGAGTGTAGACGGGCGTGCTGTGGACTTCGCTACAAGTTCCCGCTCCGTAGAGAGCTCTGCTGACTTCTTTCTCGGCGGATGGCTGGAGAAACATGGAGTAATCTGCGCCGTCAAATTTGAAAGGGTCATTGCTCGCTCGGCTGGAGGACTTGGAGTAGCTGGCTACCAGTTCACCTTGAGCGTTCCGGTCAAACCCCAGTGTAGCCGGCCGATTCTTGGTCAGAGCGCGAGATGTTTCAGGTTGGCAGCCCTGCTGCTGGCTTTGGTCGGTGATCTTGGGGGAAACGGAATCGTCTTCATAAACGCTGGATGTTCGCAGCCACTGAGAAGCATGCTTGGGTCGGTTACTGGTATGCATTGGCAATGTACGAGCCAAGTTACGAGACGAGCTTGTTGGCATGAGAGCAGTTCTATGTTGCGCGTGCTCCGCAGCTTGACGAGCACAACCCAGGGCATTCTGAGTTGGATATGCTCTGCGGTCGATTTCCAAACGCTGTCTGAGGTGGACACTTGGTCTGAGAATGACGTCCTCATCGGGCGCGACGGTCTCCCACTCGGAGTTTGTATTGTCGTCATCTTGGAGAATGGGCTTGGGGTAATAAGAGATACGACTTCCAGAATACTGTGATGGCTTCCATGACGGGTGCTCTGAAACGAAGCCTCTTGGTTTGGACTGGGCAGTATCCCGAGTTTCGAGGTTTTGGGGTTGAGGGATGTCGTCTTCGCAAATGGGGTCGGAGAATGGGTTCACGCGCTCCTGCGACATTTTGTTTGTTGGCGTGCCGTCCGACCCATTAATAGTTTGAGTTATGTCGGTCCACTGAGCAGACTAATTCACGGTGAGTATTTCATCAGGGCGTACGTGATTTGAGAGTGAAACATACATCACCAGAGTCTGGCCTCATGCTGCTCGCAGCACTCAGCACTCTTGGATTGAGCGCCGAGAATGGTAGTCTTTTCCACGGCAGTGTCGTATGCTGCTTTTAATTGATAATATCGCCAGTGACTACAGATGATGAAATGATGAGTTTCTCACTCGACTTCACAACATCTCCTCTGTGCTGCCAGGAGTGGGATCTAGATAACAAGG